CTGCAGTGAGACAGTCTGCAGTGAGACAATCTGCAGTGAAACAGTCTATAGTGAGACAGTCTGCTGCATCCTTCTTCTGAAATCCTTAAAGCTGCTTCACATCAGTTTTTTACATCAGCTCAACTTTCTGGACTTCAGATTTTACTTTTGACTTGTTTTGATTTTTGTTTTCACTCCTGTTGTCACAAGAGTTTCATCTGCCATCTAACCTTCAGAATACACGCTGGGACTTGGGCCTGTAAGTGTCTTTTAAAACTTCTTTTTCATTCATATTTTTACACGCTCGTCGACAGGCGGACATAGATACACTTATATAATTATCTGTTCATAAACTTTTTCTTGTTCGAGCCATAACTAATGCAGATTTTTTTTTAAACTTGCTTCATTCAATTAAATTCAGTGTGTGGGGAGTGGTGGCACACAGATTAAAGAAGGTGAGCCTGTGATCGGAAGGTTGTCGGTGCGAATCCTTGGACCAACAACATCAAAATGTGGATGGGAAAGGTGAAGCATCTACACCTGCCTCCACCCTCATTTGCCCGACTCTGGCCCTTGAGCAAGGTCCTTAACCTCCACCATCTGCTCCCCTGGGCACCCTCAATGGCAGCTCTCTGCTCGACACAGAGGGCTGTGGTAGCTCGGTGGTCTGTGGTTGAGTCAGGAAGACTTCCGGTGTAAAAACTATCAGCAAGACTTCCTGCGAGTGAGTTCACTGTGGCGATCCCTGTCGAAGGGATCAGCTGAAACTAGAAATAATATTAAACTAATGTCAATTCAGTTAATTAATATAGTGCCTACGGTGACCGACAGGTGCAAACGAGCTGCAAACAGTTAAATGCACAGCAAATAATTAAATGTACAGCAAACACATGAATGATGCAATTTTTACTCCAACATTATGTTTGGAAAATTCTTCACACAAGCAGAGGATCAGAGACTTCGTCATTTGAGTAGATAAGTTCTAATTCTCACTGCGAGAAGACAACTTGTTTTATTATTTCATTACACTTGTTTTATGAACCGTTGTCATTGTTGCTCGGGACAAGAAGAAAATTAGTCATTGTGCGCTGACTCTGGCGTATTTATATTCTTTTCAAATATAGATTAAAGCACACCGTCCTTTCAAATAAGTAAATGAAGAAATGCTCAATGACTGGAGACATTTAACCTATCCAGTCATGTGCAAAACACCATAATTTTAATTCAACATGTATTTCGACAGGTTAATCCCATTGTAACAATCAAGCAACGATAAGAAGGTTTCTGACACAGGTTTAGTTTTTTTGTAACTTTAATGAAGGAACAGGATCTATTGCGGGGCTATTTAACAAAACTGCTCAGGGGGCCACAGTTACTGACGCCAGCAGCTCAGGGGCCGGACATCCAGCGATAAAGTCATGATGTAAATAAACCAAGTATTACAATGATCTGTTCCACCTTTTAAACTTGTTTATTTTATTGCATTGAACCATAAATGCAATAACCTCCTTTATATCCTTTAAAACGTACAATATTACATTTTATTTGTCTCCTCAGATCACATTGTATTTTCACAACAACGTATTATTTATACAAGTTCTTTATTTTTTTATATTAAGTGTTTTACAGCTTTCAGCAGGTGATGTGAACTCTGTTTTGTTTGGGTTTGTTGGACTCGATTGCAGAGATTTTCATTTCAC